TCTTTGATTTTTTTAAAAGGACCTTTTCGCCCAAAACCATGCCTTATCACACGTGTATCCCCACATGTTTCTTAAATCTCTTAAACCAGCCTTGTGCCCTTAAATTCACCAGTATCAGTACTTTTCCAAGCATTTGTTTTTTTTCACATTAAATGATGCAAACACTCCTCCGAAATTGTTTCTCATTGATTCACCCCAAACAACAAAGTCCCCATCTTTTTTTTTTTGCGATTTTTGTTTGAAAGCATATTGCACCTTTTGCAACAACCTTCCTTGATTGCATTTTTGTTGGTCAAGAAAAGAACAATGGTTTAGGGGGGTTTTTTTATACCCCGGCCAGCTAAAGGGACACGCACCCACTTTCGTTTTTTTGTGATGATCTCTTTCGAATTCTGTAGTGTTTCTCACCCCTTTTTACCAAAGGGCGGGCACTAGAAGTTTTTTTAGGGCCCATGGTACTCTTTATTTTACAAGCCAAAAACAAGGGAAAAAAACAAAATGTATCGCATGAATGCGGGGGATCTCCTCAGGGGGCTGGTAAACAATGGTAAAAAATGGCTATGCATGAATTCTGGGCCCTCAGGCCATCGGACGGGTTTTGGGGGACGATGACTTCACCGATTTTCATTTGTTTTCACGAGCCAATATTTTGATGAAAAAACATTATTTTATTCCTTTATTACTTATTCCAATGATATCTTAACCCCGGGTCCACTGTACTGAGGGGATTCCTAAACCTCTCTTAGTCTTCATGTCCGAGGTCACTTCAAAGCCCCTTTGAAACGCTGCTTTGGTGTAGAGTTTCTTGAAGTTACAAATACCGCTGGCCCCTTGGCTGGGGGGAGAAGGGTTTAGGAGGGAAAGCTTTACTGTTATAAAAAAAAAAGTCCCAAAATAGGTCTACCAATTTGGAGGGTGACCAGGGGCATTGCCCAGTAACATCCCGCACTGAGTGGCAATTTATTTTCCAGGAGGTATTTTTTTACACTAGGGCCCAAAAACTTCGGAGAGGGGAGGGAAGGGGGGAGGGAAGGGGAAAGGAAGGGAGTACGGAGGGGGGGGACGGGAACTCCTTTATAAAATCTTTTCCACAACACACCACACACGTGCCCCCACCACCTCCCCGTCCATCCCCCACCCCCCCTTTTAAAATTTGCTCTTGACCATGCCTTAAAATAGCTGTCCAACAACACACACAATATACTCTTGATGACATGCTTTTCTAGAACACTCTGGGATTTTCTGATTGATACACCAGTAAAGGCCTTTACTATTAAAATCCCCACTAGCATTAGCACAGAAACAAAAAGAGTTTAGCCTGTCTTTCCATAGGCTTATGTCCTGCAATGCCCTTTTCCTCCCTGCATGATGTAGGTCCACTTTGGCATTTTCTCCAAAACAGGCCTGTTTCTTCACAACTGAACATGTTAATTGGGTTTCAAATTTTCGTCTCTACGTACCCCTTAAATTCATGAACGAATTTTTTCAGCTGCACATTTATCTGAACTTGCAGCCTCACGATGGCCTTAACACACTGTGTATGTCAATATTCTCTTTAATCTCCTCAAACAAGATTCTGCGGCCTTAAATTCACTAGCATCACACTGTTTTCAGACATTATCTTTTACAAGATCGGCATGCAACTGCCTTGCCTTTCACAAATGATCAACTCCGATCACTATCAGCCTTTCTGTTTTATTGATTGATCCACACTAGCAACAACTTCTCAGCTCTTCGATTGTTTGTGATCTATTTTTTTATTAATATGTCAACACCTTACTGCAACATCAGCTTCCTTGATTTCTTTTTCTCTTTGTCAGGATAGAAGTGAACTTGTTGATTTGTTTTTTGCCATACAACTGGGCAAGCTCCACCACACACACACCACTCTCATGTTTCTTTTTTTCACATCTATGGTGTTTCCACTTTCTTGCCAACGGGCTTCACTAGGAAGTTTCTTTGGCCCATTGTAACTTCTGTGTAGCAGTCCACACTCAAGCAACAACACAAAACCACAATGAATTATATTGTAAACATGTTTGGATGAGCACTCAAGGATAAACAAAGGCTCACTGACTCATGATGCCGGTGCGAAGTAGGTGCACAGGCACAGACAGCAGACAGGTCTGGTACTCGAGCTGAAACACAGCACAGTGGAAACTTGACCAAAATTTTAGCTGAAAAAAGGTCTAGACTTTGAAACCTCCGATACTCAGGCGGCCGAAACTTGAGGGTCCACTTTTACTCCATTATCCCTTCCATAGTGCTGCTGTAACTTCTATCTTGTACTCTGGGGTAGCATAAATTTGTAACAATTATGTATCCTTGGAGACTTTAAAGCTAGTGTACTGAATGGCTGCAAGAAGGAGATTGAGATGCTTGATGCAAGACGCTGCACTGCTCGTTTCTGTGACCCAAGTTATCAAATACATAAAATACTGACTTGTCAGACCCATCATATCTCCGGGTTGTGGTAAACGAGTACATTGGTTAAGTGAGGAGAGGCTGTAGTTATTTGATAATGAAGAATAGTGTACTATTCAGACTCATGTTTTCTATTGCAGACGTATTTTTAGTGGAAGACCACTACAAAGTTGTATCTCCAAGTACATCAAGAAACATCTGTTTTTTTAACAACCACTACTGCAGAAGAAATTTTTCTGACACTACCAGGATTTTGTATCCTGAATGAAGACCATACGGGCATAAATATTCAAGAACACAACACTTGTGATTCTGATGAAATTTTAACTGCCTTCAGTATTTGCAAGAAGAGCATCACTTGTGATTCTGATTTTTTTAAATTGGCCTTGCATTATTAATAATAAAAAAATTTCATAAATAGAAATTCTCTCTGAAATTTCAAGGCATGTTCAAAGAAAAAAAAAGTTAGTAATGCTGTAGTTAACAATTTTCAGAAAATGCAGTTTAAACTTAAGAAAAAATGGTTCTTCAGTGTATCCTGCAGAATTCAATACTTATGTTAGTCATTTAACAACGAAACAAAAATTATTGCAGTTCTTTAAGTAAAAAATAAACTTAATTTAGAGAAATAGTTTTGTAGCCTGGTAATATATTCATGTGGAAAACTGTGTCCTTCAGTGTCCAAAATAGTTTAACAAAAAGTAAATCTTGAAAAATAACATAAGAGTACATAAGAAAGATTAATGATACCACAGTTGAATAACTAAAATATTTTTAAAATTAAATACCTCCCTTGAAATGTATGATACAAAAAGGAAATAAACCATATCAGAGTTCAGAATGTCTGCATGTTTTAGTATAAAAAGACATCTTGTAACACATATGCGAGTACATAACAGGAGAAAAACCATTTCAGTGTTTCAGAGTGTCTGAAATGTTTTAGTGTAAATAGCAGTCTTGTGAGACATTTACAAGTACACTCAGGAGAGAAACCATTTCAATGTTCAGAGTGTCTGAAATGTTTTAGCGTAAAAAGCCATCTTATAACACATATGCGAGTAAACATTATCAGGAGAAAAAACCATTTCAGTGTTCAGAGTGTTCTGAAATGTTTACTGAAAAAGGTAGTCCTAATGAAAACATAAACGAGTACATTCAAGATAAACCATTTCAATGTTTCAGAGTGTCTGAAATTTTTTAGTGTAAAAGGCAGTCTTGTGATTACATTTACAGTACCTCAGGAGAGAAACCATTTCAATGTTCAGAGTGTCTGAAAAGTTTAGTGTAAAAAGCTATCTAAAACATAGCAGTACATACAGGAAGAAAAACCATTCAGTGTTTCAGATGTCTGAAATGTTTACTGAAAAAAGTAGTCTTTATGAAACATAAACGAGTACATTCATGGATAAACCTTTTCAAATGTTCAGAGTTGTCTGAATTGTTTTACGTGAAAAAGGTAGTCTTATGAAAACATAAACGTGTACATCAGGAGATAAACCATTCCCAATGTTCAGAGTGTCTGAAATGTATGTAGTCAAAAGGGCAATCTTGTGTTTGGACTCATATGCAAATACATACAGGAGATAAACCATTTCAATGTGCACAGTGTCTGAAATGTTTTAATGTAAAAGGCAGTCTTGTACACATATGCCGAATACATGCAGGATATAAACCATTCAATTTCCAAGTGTCTGAAATTTTTTTACTGTAAAAGGCAGTCTTGTGACACATATGCGAATACAGCAGGAGATAAACCAAATCAAGTAGCACAGGTCCTGAAAATGTTTTACCGTAAATGGCAGTCTTGTGACACATATGCGAATACATGCAGGAGATAAACCATTTCAATGTGCAGAGTGTCTGAAATGTTTTATTGTAAAGAGCCAACTTGTGAGACATATGCGAATACATACAGGAGAAAAACCATTTCAGTGTTCAGAGTGTCTGAAATGTTTTAGTGGAAAAGGTAGTCTTATGAAACATAAACGAGTACATTCAGGAGATAAACCATTTCAATGTTCAGAGTGTCTGAAATGTTTTACTGAAAAAGATAGTCTTATGAAACATAAACGAGTGCATTCAGGAGATAAATCATTTCAATGTTCAGTGTGTCTGAAATGTTTTAGTCAAAAGGGCAGTCTTTTGAATCATATGCAAATACATACAGGAGATAAACCATTTCAGTGTGCACAGTGTCTGAAATGTTTCAGTCAAAAATTCAGTCTTGTGAAACATATGGGAATACACACAGGAGATAAAAAATTTCAGTGTTCAGAGTGTCTGAAGTGTTTTAATAGAAAAGGTAATCTTACGTCACATATGCATGTACACACAGGACATAAACCATTTCAGTGTTCAGAGTGTCCGAGATGTTTTACTGAAAAAGGCAGTCTTGTGAGACATATGCAGCTACACACAGGAAAAAAACCATTTCAGTGTTCAGAGTGTCTGAGATGTTTTACTGAAAAAGGCAGTCTTGTGAGACATATGCAGCTACACACAGGAAAAAAACCATTTCAGTGTTCAGAGTGTCTGAGATGTTTTGCTGTAAAACGCTATCTTGTGAAACACATGCGAGTACATACATGAGATAAAACATGTTAGTGTTTAATGTTTCAGGATTATTTCAGTTATAAACATAAGAATATATATACTTTTTTTTTTATTAACTCATTGGCCATTTTCCCTCCAAGGAAGGTGGCCCATAAAAGTAAACATTCATCATCATTCACTCCATCACTGTCTTTGCAGAGGTGTCTTTACACTAGAGTTTATAAAACTGCAGCATTACAACCCCCTCCTTCAGAGTTTATATGCTGTACTCCATCTCCCAGAACGCAAGTCCGGCCTACCGGTTTTCACAGAATCCATTCTTAAATGTTACCTTCCTCACAGTCGAACATCAACATCAAGTCCTAAATCTATTTGTCTCCATTCGCTCCTATCTACCATGCTCACACATGCTGGAAGTCCAAGCCCTAGCACACAAAACCTCCTTTACCCTTTCCCCCATCCTATCCTAGGCGACCTCTACCCTGCCTTTCCTCCACACAAATTTATACAGTCTGACTGTCTTTCTATTACCACCTCAACCAACCCCTCCTCCGCTCTCTGGATAATACTTTTAGTAATCCCCACCACCTAATTTCCGAACTACAACTCTTTGCATTATATCACACCACACATTGCCCACAGACATGACATCCTCTACTGCCTCCAGCCTTCTCCTTGTTTGCAACATTCATCTACCCACGCTTCATCACTCATATAAGAGTGTTGGTATAACTATACTCTCATACATTCCCCTCTTGCTTCATGGTGAAAGTTCTTTGTCACCTTGTGCACTACTCACCTTTTTCCCTCATCAATTCCATGATTCACTTCAACTTTTCTTAGACTCCATCCTGCTGAACAAACTTCCACTCCCAATTATCTGATACATTCACCTACTCCATATTATCTCTCTCCAATCTGATATCTCATCTTGTAGCCTATTGTTTTTTTTGTAAGCCTCTTCACCTTACACTCCTATATTCCCTTTTAATTTTCCCTTCTTATGTATCCAAACCCAACTCGTCCAGAGAACCTCTGAAACTCCTCTTCAGATTCTCCCATAAGCACAGTGTCATCAGCAAAGAGCCAACTGTGAAAACTCCCAACTCAGTATCTCAGTTCAGTGGTCACCTTGCTGTCCTACTGTCCTAAGCTCTTGGGAGTTAGCGTGGGCTGTTACAATCACCATGACTTGTTGTATGCTTTAGAATCTCAGGTTCAAGTGTTGAGAAGGAGATTTTGCTTCTTCAGGAGGAAAATAGGGCTGAAAGCTTCCGCATAGATGAAGGAAAGGAAGGTCAACCATCATTGATAGTGGCAGCCGCTTTTGCAAGTGTTCACACTTCAAGAAGAAGGAAGATGAGGAGAGTTAATAGAAATAGATTTTAAGGTAGAAATCGATTCTCTGTTCTCCGATGTGTACTTCAGTGGTTAGTGAGTGAAAGGCACCACTGATTCCCCAGCTAATCAAGGAAAGAATATTTTAACAGCGATTCTCAGTAAGATATTATGGACAGTGGCATTTTGTAACAGAACAGAAAGGTCAGACAGAGAGTGTGCTTTCCTGGACTGTGTAGGTGAAATAGTCAGCAGTTGGATAATATATGGCACATAATGGGAACAAGCCCATATCTGTCTTAATGCTGGGGATAATGACAATGGAATGGCAGAGAGAGGAGCTGCGGGATAAGGTACAGGTTAGCCATAGAATGTAGTTAGGTCTAAGGGAGGGATCCCAGTCATAGTAGCATCTTGCCTAAAAGGGAGTGGGCAATGAATGGCTGTCTAGGGCAATTGGTAACAAATTGCTGGCTAAAGACAGGTACTGCAAGGAACTTTCAATCCCATTCATTGATAACTAGGACCTATTCCTTGGCGAACGTGATATGTATGCAAGGATGGGGTTCATCTCTCTGGGAATGGAGTAGTTGCATTAGCCAATTCAATTGAGAGGGTAACTGATGACTTGTCTAGGAATTTAAACTGATAGATTATAGAGGTATAGTTGTTTGTGGGAAATAATCAGGCTGCAGCATTTGGGTTAAAAACAGCAGTTATTACTAGGATACCTCAGGGATATGTTTAAAAGACAATATTCAAAATAAAGTTGTTAGTAATGGCAAATCATTGATCAACAAACAAAGAGAGATAGTAGAGGGCAAGGAGTGAGTAGCTCCCTTAAGGTTTACTATACAAATAGTAGGAGTCTAAGAAATGAGATAGATGAGCTAAAATTACTTGCAAGTGTAGGTAATATAGATATTATTGGTATAACAGAGACCTGGTTCAACCTGAAAGATAGAGAAATGCCTTCTGAATGCAACATACAGGGTTATAAGCTATTCCACACTGAGCTGTATAATCCTCCGGGTTTAGCGTTTCCCCCTTGATTATAATAATAATAATATTCCACACTGATAGGGTCAACAGGAAGGGTGGTGGTGTGGCTATGTATGTCAGAGAAAATTTAAATTGTTGCCTTAGACATGATATAAGATTAGAAACATCAAACACAGAATCTGTTTGGCTACAGTTTCTTGAGGGATGTGACAAATTAATTTTGGGTGTGATTTATAGGCCCCCAAACCTTGATAGGGAGGGCAGTAAGCTGTTATGGGACAAAATTCATAAGGCATCTAGATATGAAAATGTTGAGATAATTGGAGATTTTAACTTTACACAATTGATTGGAATAATATGACAGGAAATCTTGAGTCTAGTGATTTTCTTGATACGATTCCGGATTGCTTTTTCGAACAGGTTGTGACCGTACCGACTAGAGGAAACAATCTGCTTGACTTGGTTCTTGCCACAAAGATTCACTATTTAATAATCCTTGAGGTTAATGATGAACTTGGGGAAAGTGAATCCCAAATCACTAAGTTTCAATAATACTGTAATAATGGAATTGCCCAGATAACTGCAATCAAATCTCAGTCCCAGATTTTCTCTTGGCCGATCATGGGACTGAAAATTAACTGGGTGGGCTAAATTGGGATGTCCTAGTTTATGGTCCAGGTAGGTGATCTGGTTGCCATATGAGGTCTTCAGAGCATAGTTCTAGCTCCAGACAACATTTGTTCTAGTAGGAAAATTTGATCTAACAAAAATGATCCAAATGATGTAACAATAGATTAAAACGCATCTCTTGGTCAAAAGAGAGCATATATATGTGCATCAAAAGAGTGGGATGACTGTTTTAAGAATTCAATATATTCAATTAAAGAGAGAAATAAAAAAAGAGGAAAGAAAAGCAAAAATGGATTAATGAGGCTAGGTTGAAAGTGATTCAAAGCTTAACCCAAAAGGGTTTCTTTCAGGTATTACAGAAGTAAGGATTAGGGACAAGATTACCCAGATCACTGACAGTGAAAGGTATGTGTAAAATTACTTCAATACCTACTTCCTCTCAGTTTTTTCACTCCAGGAAAATACCAGCAATATTCCCGAAATAAATAGATTATGTAGAACAAATGATAACTATGTAAAATTGCATAACTAGTGACATGGTACTCAGACAAATAGAGAAACTAAAACCTAAACAAACCCCAGGCCTTGATGAACTGTTTGCAAGGGTTGTCTAAAGGAATGTAAAGAGAGCTTAGCATACCTTTGGCTAATCTTTTTAACATATCACTACAAACTGGCATAGTGCCTTATAAGTGGAGATGGCAAAGAATACCTATTTACAAGGCAGGTACAGGTCCTTGAGCTTTGAACTATTGACCAATAAGCCTTACCTCATAGAGTAAAATTTATGGAAACACTAATTGCTGAAGCAATTCCTAGCCATCTTGACAGGCACAGATTGAGTAACGATCTCAAACACGGTTTTTTTACAAAGAGGGCATTTCTGTCTTATGAATATACTAACTTTTTTCACTAAGGGTTTGAGGAGGTAGATCATTGTAATGAATATGCTATTGAGTATAAAGGACTTCGTTAAGGCTTCAATAGAGTTCCTCACCAAAAGGCTATGAGAAAACTTAAGGCACACGGAATAGAGGAGAAATTTTTTCCTGGGGTTAAACAAAAGATGCATGGCTGACAAATAGACAGCAGCGAGTTTGCATAACATGGGAAGAAATCAGAATGGGCACATCTCAAGCGGTGTTCCTCAGAGATCAGTGTTGGCTCCGTTGTTCACAATTTACATAAAACGACATAGATGAGGGAATAAATAGCAACATAAGCAAATTGCTGAGACACCAAAATAATGCCATCCAATTCATTCTAATGATTACACTAGAGCACTCCAGGATGATTTGAATAAACTGAGCAATGGTCGGAGAAGTTGCAATGCAGTTTAATATTGACAAATCAAAGTTTCTAAATGATTGGACAGTTAACCAATGCGACATATAAATTAAATAAATGAATATCTAAATACTACTGATTGCAAGAGATTTTAGGATTTCTGGTTAGCAGTAATCTACCACCAAGACAGTGCAGTAGTGGTCGCATAAATCTACAAATTCCTTGGCTTCATTATAGAAGTATTAATAATAGAAGTCCTCAAGTTTTTTCTTCAACACTATTATATCCCTGGTAAACCTCTTTTAGACTATGCTGCTCATTCTTGATAACTGATTACAGAATGGATATAAATCTTTGGAAAACATACCAGAGAGGATGACAAAGAAGATCCCATGTATCAAGAAATCTTCCCTATGAGAATAGACTGACGGCCCTAAATCTGCACCTCCTCTCGAAAGGCATAGAAGTAGGGGGATATGATCGAGATGTAAAAAATGGGAAAAAAGGAAAAAATAAAGGTGATTAAATAGCGTGCTGAAAATTTCCAGCCAAACCGGACTCGCAGAAAGGGTTAAAATTTAAAAAAATTCAGATTCGGAAGGATATAAAAATCACTTTTTTGAAATAGATTTTGGGGATGAGGGGAAAAAAACCCCTGAGACAGTTATTAGCTGAAAGTTGTGCATTTTTAAAAAATAGGTTAATAAATACAGAGGGGGTGTGAAAATTTTCGGGACGCCCCAATGAGTCACCTACCCTCAAGCCTGTTGACACCTAGCTCTGAGGTCGGTCCTCAGCCTCAAAAGGGCTTATAGGACAATTTTTCATAAATGACATTTTT